ATTTATAATTCCTCACATAGAATCTCATCTAGTAATCTGACGTAATAAAGTATGTAATTTTACTATGGATGTTTCAGGGTAAGGCTTTTTCTGCTGATTGGTTGTTCTTTAATTAGGACCAATTAGCAGAGTGCTTATATACCATCCACCTCATTGCTTTACATCTACCTTCTTTTTGAAAAAGTCAACTGACGAAACGCGTCAAAGAGGGCAGACGCTAGATTTGCACACGAGGGTTTTTAAAGTTTTGTTCCTGAGCTGCTTGTGCCGGCCGGATTTTTTTGCCTGTGTAAGTCACTATTTGTAATAAAGCTAAATGTTTTTGCATGCTACACTATGAGGGCTCTCTCCTTTTTTTATCTTTGAAATACTGCGAGACCACGGCAAGGAGTTTCGTTTGACACTGCGCCTGAGACGATCCAGCTTTACTTCTGGGATACAGCCAGCGCTACAAGGGAGAAAAACCTACCACTCACCTTGCAGGGACTGAGAATAAAAACAACTGGGTCCAAGCTTGAAAGCACGATTGCAGGCTCAAGTGTCACTAACAAAAAGCCTTTTGATCCAACTCCATCTGGTGAGTACCCACCCAAGGGGGCTGTCGGACCGCCGCCACGAAATACATACCACCATCAATATATATCATTAACAATTTTCTTTGTACACGTTTTTTACGTTTATTTTTCGTTGACCAATTTATTCCTATTTTTTGCACGGATCGTTTATATATTGTGACCTATTCGAGGTCTTCACACAGTGGTTAAAATTTTTTTTTATTGTCCCAATAATTTCTGTTTTTTTCACAGCACTATTGTATTATTAACTTTATTTTTATTTTTATTTTATATTTTTTATGATTCTATGTAAGATATCACTTGTTTTAGGGCTAGACCCCCTAAACCTAAAATTCCATTATATCACTTGGTTATACTAAGTTTCTTATTTGTTACACCTTTAGCGCTTTGATATACATTTTTCTCGACCATAGATCAGGTTCGCCTTTGTCTAATTTGTTGATACAATTAATTTTTTTGATGTGCCGCTGGTTATCGATCTGGGATTACAGTGGTAAAAGAAACGAATACAAATACAAAGCAATTCAACTGTGATGCTCATTTTACAAGCTTGCAATGTTATGTCAGCACACTGTATGGAATGCAGCCTGTTACAGAAAAGTGTGTACAAGAGAAAGATCTGCCCCCAGGAACAGCAATATGTGATGAAGCTTATCCCTACTTTAAGAGCAACTACTTTGACTTTATTGATTAGCTGTGTCCACAAAATTTATGAAGATGGCTTGTAATTCAAATGTATGCAGCTATAGCCTTGCATGAATAGTAAAATTAAACTCTACTTTTTCATTTTAACAAACTGGGAAAGGAATGGCATGGCAGATGGTTGTTATCCTTTGTCTCCCCACTGGGTAGATTACTTCTCTCCAGGTACCCCTAACTTCCTGTCTAAGGGACTACACAGGAGGTTAGGACAAATATTCCCAGTGGATACACACACAGTAATCATCAGAAAGAGTCTTTGGGTTTGAGTTCAACGCTGAACTTACTGCTAGAATATAACTTCTATTGTTTTCTATTGTACAGGTTGAGGGTGCAAGCCGTGACCTACACTCTGGAAGCTTTGGAGGAACCGTTTATGAGGCCATGAGTGACTTAATTTATTTACTAGGTATATTTAAATATAACCCTTATGTTTATATGATCAATAAACTAACGAGAGGTGTACTTTACAAAAAAAATTATCCTTCTTGCCTTAGTCCCATAGATGTCTATGGGGCTGTATTGCACACACAGTGAAGACTTGCAGCGCTGGATCAAATAAACAAACAGCATAACCGTGGCTGTCGATTTTAGGTAAGTATGCATCTGTATAGGGAGAGGGTGGATTAGGTTAGGTCAAGCAGGAAAAATTATAAATGCACTTTGATTTTAAGTGCACTTATCCTTTAAGACCAATTTAGTGATACAAGTTTCTTAATAGACATTCTAATTTTCATGCTCCTAGGGCATCAGGAGGCCTTGGAGTGGCACATTCTATATATGTGTATGATCTTTGATGGATCTGGGTGCATTTTGACTCCCCAAGGATTTGTATTTCTCTCTATCCAGTCCTGAGATATATATACATAGCCATGTCTGGCAGGGCAGGAGACCTGATTTTTCTCTGCTGCAATTAAGTAACATTTACAAGTCTGGTCACTCCCTCACACTCTGATTGGACAATGTAGGAGAAGCAACACACTGATTGGCTCATCTCTCTGCTTTCCCTTCCTAACAGCATGTTCCTTGTTATCACATGAGCGCTGTAGTACAACCGATTACCTTCTACATCCCTTGAGCTGGCCATACACCTTACAATTATCGTTCAATTTATTTTCTCCTGTCATCGCACCCTAGTTCTATTTCCGCTCAAAAAGCCCATCATGAACAGACCGATGTAGAATTTGATAATCGTTCACCAGCAATACTAACTGGCCGAATTTCGTCAATCTGCAGAACAGATTTCCGTTTTGCACATGTGCAGTGTTCATGTTTCGATTTTTTTTGTACGAAAACGCCACTAATTCATAGATTTTCGTACAATTCGAAAAAAAACTTTTGTAGTCTGCCCGATAGATGAGATTCGGCCAGTTGTACAGTAATTGTGATCGCTGACTTCCCATCAATTAGCCGAATGTCGTACCAAACCCAATTTCGTTTGGAAATCCAACGATAATTGCAAGGTGTATGGACACCTTTATTGTGAGCTCTGTTGTGCAGGAACTACAAGAGGCTGATATGAAGTAAAACTTGGGTACTTACACTGCTTGCATTAAAAAATACATATAATGGTGTATTGATGAATAAAGAGCTGCATTAATTGGTATCTTTTATATCTGCCTGCAGTTCACCAATCAAGTAAACCAATCAAACAGATCAGTGCTTCTATATAAAGCTAAATTTCTGTTATCTCTAGGTGACAGATAGCAGTGAGGCCTTACATTAATAACACCTTTCTTAATTCATAAAGCCAAGTGCATCACCAGGGGTTTGGAATTCCTATCGCCCGGGACATGTAGCGCCAGACAGGTGGCTTTTTTTTCTACATTTAGCTCTGCTTCGGACAAGTAGGGCTAAATGTAGAGCGGGTGGCGGCTGCACAACCACCCAAATCACTTGTACTTAGCCTTCTGGTCTGTCTAACCCCACCCTCCCCACCGCCGGCAGCCTCCCTCCCTACCTACCGTGTCGCTCCCATTTTACTGTGTGCCATATTGTGGTAGCTGGGCAGCAGCGCTCTCTATCATGCACATTGTGCATTGAAGGGGAAGTTCACTTTTCCAAGTAGTTTGGGAGAATGGAATTACCTGCTCAAATCTGGCCCACTCTTCCCCCACCCCGCTATACTTACTTTCAGCAAACGGTCCTTCCGCTCTACCCCATACTGCTTTTCAGTGCAGCCCTGCGCTATGGATTTAGAATTTTGCTTGCAATTAGCAAGCACGCCTGACTGTGGTGACCAATAAGAAGCGCTTCTTAGCACAGTTAAATATGGTTTTGGATATAATTATTTTTTTGTATCGGGACAACTAGATCAGGCACCCGCTTTAGTCCTTGCATAAGTCCTTTTTTTTTTAATTTCCACACCCGTGACCCAATAATATGCGGTTTGACACACAGATAAAATATCTTACTAACCCAGCCAAAATGTACATAAAACATTATTACATAGGATTGTTTATGGTTGGCGTTAGGGCTGAATGTTAATAATATACAGCTTACTGGTCATACTTACTCTGCAATCTAAACCAAGTCATCCATTTATGTAGGTCAGCTTGCGGATGTCAAAGGTAAGATCCAGATTCCAGGTATTTATGATGATGTGTTACCTCTCACGGAACAAGAAAAAGAATTATACAAAAATCTTCAATTTAGCCTTGATGATCTGCGAGCCGATATTGGAGTGAACACATTTCTTCATGACACAAAGGCAAGTGAAATTATTTTACTTACACTGCAAGGATGTTTTTAAAACGTTTTAACAGTTTAAGGCTGCGACACTCGGGGCGGTCGGCCCCATTGATTTCAATGGGGTGACATCCGCTCTGCAATTGCTACAAAAAAAAGATACAACTACCTTTTTTTGCGACACTGCTTTTTTTTTTAGCTGCGATTGTGTTCAATTGCACAGGCAGAATCGCGGTGGGATCCGCCCGGTGCGACTGGGGAGCTATTAGAAAATAATGGCACCCACAGCGCAAGCGGCTGCGTTTTTTTGCACGATTGCCGCGCGGTCAGAAGTTGCCTAGGTGTAAACCTAGCCTAACTATGTAACTCACAAGGAACTCATTTACCCGCAACCCTTACTGGTGAACACATAATAGTGTGAAACTAGCAGCTTTGTTGTCTAGTCCTCCCTAGAGAAAAGCTGGCCATACACTTGGCATTTGATAGAATAATCAAACTTTCACTTTTCTGTTTGATCAAAAACACAAAGCAATCAAAGATATAAAATTGTGCTTTCCAACGATCACAAGAAGATGGGATTGAAATTGTCCTGATCACACGTGACGGGATACTATAACCACTTTTTGATGAAATTCCTGTCGTTTTTACCAGTTTTAATTCAATCTTAAATAAATCATTCAATAACTTGTATTTAGGGAAAAAACAAGTGCTTAATTTGGTCTAAGGGTGCAAAAAAAGAAGATATACCCACCTGATCCTCAGTCCTGCAGCAGTCAACGCTCAACTCTCTCCTCCACCGCTCTGGCTATGGTATACCCCTTGTGTCCTCGCGTCTAATGTAAGTCAATGGACCTGCATTAGACTTGATGACGTCAGTGGCCCTTAGACCGCCGGAGCCCAGTGGAGAATTGGCTGCGGAGATCGGTCTAGCAGCATGGTGGGACCGAGAATCAGGTGAGTGTCTTCTTTATTTGAGCCCTCAGACCAAAACGAGCACTTTACCCTTGCAAGGGTTAGCTTTGTAATTCCTGGAGTTTCTCTGTAAAGCTGGTAATTTATTGTCCAGTTTTGACTCAACAATCAATGGACTTCTAGTAGTAAGTCAAACTCATGGGTGGTAGATTGCTTCGTTTTTGAAGTTGTTTTGCAACTGTATTTGTGACTCCCAGTAGATTGAAATTGGCTAACTTTGCCAGATGTGTAGCCAGCCTAAAGCTTTACAAGATCCACTCTGATCTTAATGAAAGTGGCAGTACTTTGCTGCTCTACACAGTGATCACAATGTCAGACTTTTTTAGTGCTCTGCAATCCGTGATTACTATTGCTCTTCATTATGGGTGAAGGTCCAGCACAGACAGGATTCCAGTCATTCAAAAGTTTTTGATGTTTGAATACTTGAGCTTGAAAACACGAGATTTAGCTGCTGTTATAGTATGCTTAGTACAGATCCTCCTGTGAGCCTGATCACGTTTACCACCGCCCAACTGTTGCAGCGTGCTTCTGTACCCAGATCAGGATAGCTCATGAACACTACACTTCTCTTGGCTACTGCCCAAGTGGCAGCCTTGTTATAGCATCCAGCCCTGCCCATTGTAGTGGCATTGCATAACCAAAGGTAACGGTCTTGAACTAGGACCATTCCCACTGCCCATGCTGTCAAACATTTTGCTGCAGGTAAAATACAAAGACAAATTAAAACTTGTTCTTTCATATAGGGTTTGTTCAAAACAACACACTGAGCTGCATCATATGGGGGTAAAGTTTATAAGTCTATAGAGGCATTATTACCCATGCTTGGAAAAATGTGTCTTTGCAAATAGTTGACAACGATTCTCATTATCGATTAAATCGATTAGTTATCGATATGGAGTATTTGGGTGAGTACTCATACTCGCCCAAATGCTCCCGATGCTCATCCCGATAGCGGAACTTCTGGTTTCAGGAAGCTAGGCGGCAAGTCATTACACGCTGCCCGGCTTCCTGATTGGGCAGAAAGCTGGCTCCATGCTCCGTCACCTGGTGATGAGGTAACATGGATCTGGCTTCCTGGCCAATCAGGCAACTGGGCAGCATGTAATGACTCCCAGCTCGGCTTCCTGATTGGTCGGGAAGATAACCAATCAGGAAGCCAGGTAGCGAGTCATACTTCCTCATCACCTGGTGATGGCTACCCGGCTAATTGGGAAGCCAGGCGGCGAGTTATTACACGCTGCCCGGCTAATCAGTAAGTTGAGCGGCAAGTCATTACACGCCGCCTGGCTTCCTTAAAGGGAATTCCGGTATCGGCGAGTAGCGAAAAACAAATATCGCTACTTGTACTCAATACCGACAAACCAGTATCGGTGCATCCCTAGAAAAAATAATTTGTTAAACCAACAGGTGCTTCCCACCACTACTTCCTTTATACTGACTTATAAAAACAAGTGCAATCATTTAGATGGTGGAAGAACGGCTGATCACAGAAGAACACTAAAAGGAGTGCATTTTTTTAATAGACGTTTATATATTAGACCAAAAGAGGGACAGCCCCTCCAAATGAAGGACAGCTTTATATGTATAGTTTGTTTTCAACAGATGTATGCTTAATACAACAAATGTAGCTAAGCCCATAATATGTTGCACTAAGGTGATACAGCTATAAGCAATAAACTAAAGGTGCATACTGTTTAGTTTTGCTATTAATGTGTTTGTTCACGTGTCTGCATTTGCAGGAGGAAATACTCATGCACAGATGGCGGTATCCTTCTTTATCAATTCATGGCATTGAAGGAGCTTTCTCTGGATCAGGAACAAAAACTGTTATTCCTGCAAAAGTTATAGCCAAATTCTCAATTCGTCAAGTGCCCGATATGAATCCATCTGTTGTAGAAAAACAGGTATGCCAACAAAAATCTAAGGAGAGAGAAAATCCATAAAGTAAACCATGTCATATTATCTGTGCTACTTAGATTTAGGATTTATTTTCTAGCAATGAAAAAAGGAATAAAGGCCTCTTTTAGATCACAATCAATAATACATTATTTTTAAATTAGATAAATTGAATCAAATAAAATAGGATTTTTGTACTTAATGTAAAATCCTTTTCTTGGAGTTCATTGAAGGACACAGGTTTCAGAAAAAAGTGGGTTATACGGCCATGTACAGGAGGATTTGGACACTTGGAAACAAAAAATGGTGACATCCTGGTATAGACCCTCTCATTCCCAGCCAACCTCAGTTTTGAAAAAAAAAAAGCAGTGCTCAAAAGAAGACCATGAATACAGAGGGGTTGGACCAGAGTCCCTCAATTAACCCCTTCGTGACGGGAGACTAACAGTGTACGTCCCGGCACTTTGTGTCTATATGACTGGCCACGTACACTGTACGTGACGAGTTATATCAGGCTTTGTAATGCTGGTAACAGCTGATTCTCAGCAGGTCCAGTCATTAATGAATGACTCAGTATTGAGGCATTCATTAATGAAATAATGAAGCTTTTTGTAAAAGCGTCTTCCTTTCATTAATAAAAGAATGAAGCCGTTACATGCAAATACAGGACCGCAATTTGCGATTCCGTATTTGACAGCTGAAAATAGCAGAGAGGTAGCAGTGATTCACCTCTCTGCTATTTGTTTTGACAGCTCGAGAGCCCGATGACAGGAATTTTTTATTAACCTTTACAGCGGGGCTACCCCTGCAATGCAAGGGTTAAGTGCTCATGTGTGCCTAGGTGCTAAAATAACAACATTTATACTCCAAAACACA